TATATGTAATATACTACAAAAACAATGATGCTGTGCGTAATCTCAATTTTGTTGTATTTTCGGAGTACGAAAATCACGATGCAACTGGAGTGCACTTATATAATTCGAAGTTAATTCAATTTTTGAAAGACAAGTTTGGTGAACGAAACATTAAAAAAATTATATATTTTTCTGATGGAGCTGGATCTCAATACAAGAACAGATTCAATTTTTTAAATTTATTATTTCACGAAACAGATTTTTATGTACCAGCAGAATGGCATTTCTTCGCGACAGCGCACGGTAAAGGTGCTTGTGATGGTATAGGTGGTTGTGTAAAAAGAAACGCATACCGTGCCAGCTTGCAAGACAAAACAATAGTTACAACGAAAGGGCTTTTTGAATGGGCAAAATCTTATTTAAAAAAAATTTAATTTAATTTTTGTTCTTTAGATGAATATAAACAGCACGAAGAATATTTGAAGGAACGGTTTGCTACAGCGAAAACCATTAACGGAACCCATGCTTTTCATTCGTTCAAGCCGTGTGATAATAACTCTCTTGAGTGTAAAATTATTTCTAATTATTGTAAAAGTTCTAAAATGAAAGTTATTAAATCTGTAAAGAAATAAATTCTTACTGTTAATAAATATTTGATAATGTCATTTAATATTTGACGTAAAATTTAGCCTACAGAGCATAGAAGTATGTCCGAAAAGCTCGGTGTCAGGCGCAGCGCTCGGCCTAGTGCGTCCGCCTCGGCCGCTATATAACACGTTAAATCGATCAGATCTTTTTCTGGTAAGAGAGCACTAAAATTTTCTTGTGCAGTCATTTAGTTTATAGTTAAACGAATATTTTTGCAAAAAAAAAAATTTTTTTCTACAACACCGAGAAGTTAGTTAAATTACCATTTGTTTATTGTAACATTTATTATTTATAAACAAATTATATTTTTTTTACGTGAATTAATTTTTTTTCTGATCTCCTACTATTTCGCAACATACAATCCAATTTTTATTGAGATTCAATAATTATTTGCTGATATATTGAACTTTAAAAAAAAAGTTCTCTAAATTTTCAATCCCTGATAAGTTTTTGAAAAATTGAAATTTTCAAAAACCGTTTTAGGGCATTACTTTTAACTTATAAACCTTCCAAAATATGTTAATAGATACATAAAAATCGAATAGTAGATTTTTAGTGGCCCGCTTAAGAAATTTTGACTCTATATCACACTAAGCTGACTTTAACCTATATCACAGTTGATTTTGGGCACCATACCAGTAGCCCAGTTGGTCCAAATACAAAAAAAGCCAGTGTGCAACCATATAAATAAATAATTGAATAAATAAATAAAAAAACGCAAAAAAAACGTAGTCAAATAAATAAAAGTAGCAATAAATACAAAAATAATCACAATACGTCAGAATAAATAAATAAATAAGTAAATAGATCAATAAACTGTATGCCTATGATTCGCAGTCTTGTTACTGTGTAAACCAAGATTGTAAGTTAGAATTAACACAAGACCTAATCAGACATTAACATAAATGTACGTCGACACAAACCTAAACATGCGACCACAACAACCAATTGACCACAATAACTACATTGATCATACAAAAATCAAGCTACAAATATATCTTTGGCGTGGTATACTCCGACTTTCTTCCCGCTAGTATCACCAAGCTCATACATATAGTTCCCGATAGTTTTGAGGACTACACATTTAACTTGTTTTGGTGCTAGTTTCGCATTATAATTGTCTATTTGGGAACTCTGTCGGAAGTTTCTACGGTATACCACCTGCCCGATTTTGAATTTGACATCCCTACTTCTTGTGTTATATGCTTTGGCACTCTTTTCGTGCGCCAACTTCAGTTCTTTGATTACTTTGTCCCGTATAAGCTGTAACCGGTCTACATTGGAGTCAACCTGAGAATCCGCGTCCTTTATCGTGCCGAGCTTTCGGTATATCTCGTATGATGCACCATGTTGTATCATCGGCATACCGAAAGTCGCAAAATACGGGGAACAGTTGATCGCGGAATGGACTACGCTACGAAGTGCAAACGCAGCGTCACTGATGTGTTTATCCCAACTTTTCTGGTTGTCTTTTATATATGACCGCACCATCTGCAACACGGACCTGTTGACCCGCTCTGCAGCGTTACCTTGCGGCGAATAAAATGCTGTTTTAATATGCCTCGTGCCATATTTATCCAGAAAGCTGGAAAATATTTCCGAGGCAAATTGTTTGCCATTGTCAGAATGGATAAATTCCGGTACGCCAAATATATGAAAGACTTCTTTTTCTAGGAACTTTATAACCTCGGCANTGTTTTAATATGCCTCGTGCCATATTTATCCAGAAAGCTGGAAAATATTTCCGAGGCAAATTGTTTGCCATTGTCAGAATGGATAAATTCCGGTACGCCAAATATATGAAAAATTTCTTTTTCGAGGAATTTTATAACCTCGGCCGAAGTGGCTCTTCTCATAGGTTTCAAAAATATAAACTTAGAAAAGTGGTCAAGACAGACAAAAACAAAAACATTACCATCACAAGTACGTGGGTAAGGACCCATAAAGTCGATATACAAGCGTTGGAAAGGTCGTTCTGTTACGTGCTGATTACCCATCAATGGTTTATGGAATGCGTTCTTCGTTTTATTCCCTTTACAAACTTCACAGGCATTGACGTGTACTTGCACATCTCTCACCATACCCGGCCAGTAATACTTTTCTCGTACCCGTGCAAGTGTCTTGTGGATTCCACCATGGCCAGCCGAAGGTGAGTTGTGGGTGGCCTCCACNTCTCGTACCCGTGCAAGTGTCTTGTGGCTTCCACCATGGCCAGCTGAAGGTGAGCTGTGGGTGGCCTCCAATAACCCCTGTCGTAACTCCGACGGTACCCAAAGTTTCCAGGTCTGGTCCTCTTGAAGATCAACCCCCCTGTTAAATTGCGTCCGTTTGTACACATATCCGTCCGAAACACATAAGTCAGCCAGCTTGTCCTTGTTCTCGTTCACGGTCTTCCTTAGTTCGTTATACTCGTCCGAGTCGAAGTATGGTGATTCTAGGCAAATGTCCATCACCCTGTCATTTATCATAATTTCGTCCATATGCATCCGTGATAGCGTGTCTGGAACAATATATTGTGCCCCCTTTCGGTGCTGGATGTCAAAATCGTAGGCTTGGAGTTTCAGGCTCCATCTGGCCAGCCTACCAGAAAGGTCCTTTTGATTCATCAACCATTTTAGGCTGCCATGGTCAGTTATGGTCGTGAATGGCATACCTTCTACGTACGGCCTGAACATTTTTACGCTTATCATGGCTGCATAACATTCCAATTCGGTGATGCTATAGTTCTTTTGCGCTTTATTAAGCTTTGTCGACACATATGCTATAGGCCGTTCATTGTCTTGGTGGTCCAACTGAAATAACACCCCACCCACTCCGTCTTTTGATGCGTCACACTGTATGTAGAACCGTCTATCAGTCATGGTGAATTTCCTAATCTTGTCCTTGGTGAGACAGTCGTGCAGCGGAGCTGCGATGGTCGCGTAGTCTGGAATAAAACGACGGTACCAGCCTGACATACCTAGAAACCGTCGGAGCTGTTTAGGCGTCTTAGGCTCAGGGAAGTCCCTCACAANTTTCTTAATCTTGTCCTTGGTGAGACAGTCGTGCAGCGGAGCTGCGATGGTCGCGTAGTCTGGAATAAAACGACGGTACCAGCCTGACATACCTAGAAACCGTCGGAGCTGTTTAGGCGTCTTAGGCTCAGGGAAGTCCCTAACAGCTACAACCTTGTTCGCATCAGTTCGGATGCAACCATCACCCACAACATAACCAAGGTAACGAACCTCCTTATAGCAGAATTTCCTTTTTTCTACATTGATGGTTAATTTAGCCTCACGTAAGCAACGAGCGACCTTTTCCAACAAACACAAATGGGACCAAAAATCTACAGAACACACTAACAAGTCATTCAAATACACAAAAACACTTTCACGTAACGAAGCAGGTATTACTTTGTCCATGCGTCGGCACATTCTTTGTGCGGCATTGCATAGCCCGAAAGGCATAACGGTAAACTGGTAGAGAGGCCTGCCTGGAACAGTGAACGCCGTCTTCTCTCTAGATTTCTTTTCGAGCGGTATCTGCCAGAATGCATCTTTAAGATCGATAGCCGATATATAGCGCGTGTTTTGAAGGCGGCTAAGGATTCCATCTATGTGAGGCAGTGGATACGCATCTTTAACAGTCCGCGCATTTACTTTTCTGGCATCGAGGCAAAGGCGATTCTTGGTACCTTTCACGACCAAAGAGACAGGTGAGCTCCAACTACTATTGCTTTCCTCTATTACCCCCATACTAAGCATTCTGTCAAGTTCTTGGTACACTAATTTTTGTATTGCAGGTGAGATTGGATAGTGGCGTTGTTTCACTGGGATATTCTCATTTTCAACTTCAATAACATGCTCTTCTACATCTGTGTGGCCTAACCCTAGTACTGAAAAGGAAGGAAACTGCGCTTTGACTCCCTCTAACGCTACACTTTCCTCGTGCGTTAAAGTGTGTTGCACGGCGTCAAACGACAGGTCCCCCTCCACGGGTACGAGCTCTGAAACGGAAGTTTGTGCTGGACGTTTGGGTGCTCCTTTATTCACAACAGCCATGTCGAAAGCCTTCCAGAAGTATATCCCTAAATATACTTCTTGTTGCAAACNCTCTAACGCTACACTTTCCTCGTGCGTTAAAGTGTGTTGCACGGCGTCAAACGACAGGTCCGCCTCCACGGGTACGAGCTCTGAAACGGAAGTTTGTGCTGGACGTTGTGCTCCTTTATTCACAACAGCCATGTCGAAAGCCTTCCAGAAGTCTATCCCTAAATATACTTCTTGTTGCAAACCGGGGACTATTAGAAACTCAAGATCTCGCGTCAGGCCATCCCATAACACTGGGAGAGTTATTACTCCTGTAACTGACACTTCCCCACCGTTTGCGGTTCTTATATTCTGATTCCTCACTGGGAGAATACTATTCTCTCTACCATCTAAAAAGTTACTTGCATCCTTGCCCAAACAACTCGCCCCCGCGCCAGAATCAATGAGCGCTAACACCTCCCTGCCTCCTATCTTGGTTTCAGCAAAGAATCTGTTATCACCTTTAACCGTCACTATAGTTGACACTATCTTGCTATGGATTCTCTTATATAACTTCTTATTTTCTCTCATCTTCTCAATTTTCGTAAAATTCCTACTCTTAGCTTTCATTGCAATGCTCTCACAAAATATTCGTTTGCGTGCCGCCTCATAGTCCAATTTACGTTGGTGTAGACTCCTTCTGTCACAATTCTTACCCTCAGCATCTTCCTGCCTAACTACTTTACTGTCTTTTCTTTTTAGTCAGTTGGTATGCTGGTTGATTTCCGGGTGCTCCTTCCCCTGGCTGGGTTCCCGGCAATCTCCGCCAGCATCCCGTTTCCCTTTTCCGGCTTGTACACACAAACGACGTGTCCCCTCCGCAGCGAAGCAAACCATGTTGTGGAAAGACGACTTACAACGCTTCTCTTTAAGGGCTTCATTTGGATTTTTAACATAGAAATCTACAGGCATACCACAAGCAAAACACAACATAAGATGAAATGGGGACGGACAAAACGACTTGATAGTGGATTGGGGGCTTTTCACCGGCTGGAAAACTGGTGCGCTACTTTGGGGGCTGTTTGATTTAATGTTGGTGCTAGAATTACGTTCACCCGGTGCACGGTTCTTCAAGGGATTATTAAATGCCTCCAGAGATTTCGCTCCTAGTGTCCATCCAACAGTGGCAATTCTGGATAAGCCATTCGTTGATTGCCTTAGTTCTGCTCCGGTTTTCCTTCATTACCTTTTCTGCGCGCCTGCATTCAGTCTTCAATTCGGCCAGAGTATTCATCTGTGACGCGAACGTGAGATTTGCCAGGTACGGTTTCAAGTTTCCTTTCAGAATCCCCACTAATTCTTTTTCAGGAATTTTCTTTCGCAGGGCGAAACGTGAGATCATGGACTTCTCCGTAAAACTTCGTCAAACCCCTCTTGCGGTAGCTGCTTCCGTTCCATGATCTGTCTGATTATCTCGTAATCGGACTCCGGGGTTTTAAAGTGGGTGAGCAGCTCAGCTTTTAGCTCGAAGAATCCGAAATCCGGATCATCGGCGTGATCTTCGAGCACTTGCCAATACCACTTCAACGCGGAGCCCGTTACGAGACAATGGAAGTCAGTGAGAGCTGATAATAAGAGATCTCGTGCTGCGCTCTCATCTTCTCGATTCTGAAAAGGAAACTCTCAACCGTAATCCCTTCCCCGTCCCGTCGAATTTTATGTGCCACTTGTCTAAATCGACTTTCTTCCACTTTGGTGGCCCTTGCGCACTCTGGTCAACTCGTGCGACATCCTCATTAGCTCTTCGATGGAGCGTTTTCGTTACCTCTGTTTTCTGGCGTGAGATGCGATGGCCCAGTGCTTGAGCGGACGTCTCTATATCAGCGACCCTGTTGCTGAGGTCCGACATGTTAGTCCTCATGTTCCGAACCTCGTTCATACACTGCGCCATCATTCGTGTTGTTGCGCCATCATCGCCATCATGCGGCTCAGTTGCTCGACACTGGTCGCAGTTGAGGCTCGGTTCACTCCCTGGAGCCTTCGGACGTGTCAGCATCAGAGTCTCTTGCACGTGCACTCGACCTGGCCCATCGCTTCCAGCAGCACCTTGCAGGTCAGATTCAGACATCTCGAATAGCTGGTCTAATTTCCTAGAAAAACTATCAGATATAGTCGGTTCCGTTGGACTGTAGCTCCTGCTCGTTCGATTCACTTGCCGCTGGCGTGTAGCTTCTCTTTCCAGGGTACTAAAAATACGAGCTGAGCACCTGTTAAAAAGGTCTGTTGGGACGAAATCCACCGGATAAGGTATACCAGTATCTATTTGGGTAACAATGACCCGACCACTTGATTTTCTAACGCCCTTGCAGCGCTACGTGTAACCCTGCGGTTCGACTCTAGCAGACCTAATCCTCCTGTGACAACTCTGATCCTGGCCCTCACGTTCTCCCATTCACTCACACCTACTCACTCAGATCCAAATTAGAGCCGGTTCGACGACGATTTGTAACACACGGTCTAACAATGAAAAGTATCTCGTATCGCACTTCAAAGTACAAAAACAACTTTCAAAGAAAATCAAACTTT